ATGTCACCCAGGAGATCCCAGCTTCCCACCCGTCCATTACAGCTGCAGCAGCATCGCACTTCTTTACCCTTTTGCCTCCTGGTGGTGCCATCTGGAACATAGTGCTGGTGCATATGGTACCACCGAGATCCAAAAGTTCGAAGAAATAAATCAACTCATCCCGGCAGGCCATTATTTATGAAGAACTTGCATGCAATCACGTGCTGATACTAAATTAACGTTGGGGGCGTGGCATATCCCGGAAGAATTCATCAACGCAAGACGAAAAACCGTCCATTTTATGATGCGAAACACAGAAAATTATGCCAAACTCGCCTACGGTCAACAATGCAGAGAAAAGGTTTCACAAGAATGCTGGGTTGTGAACAAAACTTTCGCCCCAGGCGGGACTAGAACCCGCACCTCTCGCTTTCCGGGCAAGTGCGCTACCAGTTACGCAACCCATTCGCAAGGCAAACTGCGGCCAAAAACAGCAGTTAACAAACAAAAACAAGGCAAAGAAAAGAATTTTTTCGATATTGTTACCCAACTTACTTCGTAAATTCTCCAAGTATTGTTGTAAAGCTAGTCGTTGATAATATTGCTGTTGAAGCCAGGGATTTTGCAATAATGCTGGCGGATTGAACGCAAGTGACTGGAATTTAAAGCAATTTCATATACGACCAATTAAATGGCTTAGCCATGTTTTAATGTACTGCATTAACGTTTTCGTTCAATGCCATCATGAAAACGCACTTTTTTGCCATTAAAAGCATGTTTCATTCCAAGTGACGCCATGGCACAAACTTCCAGAAACTCAATGTTTATTTTTCATATTCAATAAATTCGAAATTCAGTAGAATAAGAATAAATACAACAAAAATACTAGAACAGTCATAGATTGAAGTCAAATTCACGGGTGAACTTTCAGCTGGAAGTTGATTCCAGTCTGAAGTTCCATTGTGATTTAACTTAAGACTTGGCGCATACAGCAGCGCTAAATTTGACACCGTAATTCGAAAACGGAGGTAAATACAGTGCGACGTTGAGTACGGCACGCATCAAAGTGAATCTATCACCGGGTTGACCACCCTTTGTACTTTAACTATTTCTTTTGAACTTCTCGCACAGCCACCATAATTCGATCCAGTTTGTGAATTACTATACTCTACCCAGGACCACTCATCCCTCGGAGCCCATTGTTGGTCGGAAAACCGGTGATTTCCACATCGCCTACCCCTACTTGTCATTTTCCGACCGGATAGGTGTTCAAAACCAAATGAATCTTTATATTTTGGGCAAAATTATGTTCGAGTTTTTTAGATCTTGACCTGGTCATCACGGGCGAATACGACCCAGTAACCCTTGACAAAAGGCCGAACTTATTTTTGGATCAAGAGAGGATTGCATTCGGGATTTAGGGGGAGTAGAGAAGAGTAAGAATCGAACCGCAAACAGTGTAGGCGGCAGAATACGCAAAACTGTTTCTTCAGCCACATAAGCGACCCCTACCACTTGGTACCATGAACCATTGGAAGGAAAGGGTGGGCCGTAAG